GCCCGCGGGAAAGTTCAGCCCTGGGACCCAGCACCTGCAGGGGCCGCGCCCGCGCTGCCCAGCGTATTGAGACGCGCGGTTCCAGCGCCTCCAGCTGACGAGCGGGGCGTTTATTAGTGTGGGGAAAGTATGTTTTAAAACTCTTTTTATTTTGTTTTGCAGAACAAATGAATAGACCTAAGGAGAAATGTTTCATTCAATTTTAAAAAAAGAAAGAAAAGCCTCTCCTCCGCCAAGTCCTGTTTCGTACGGTGTCACCTTTTCGGTATTTCTGGGAGCCTTTCGTCACTCATCCTGGGGCCTACTCCCTGAGCAGGCGTCGTGGCTGTGTGTCCCGAGGCCTCCGTCCACCCAGTGCGACCTGCCCATCGCTCGCACCCGGGGATCCCGCTGGCCTTGGCTCCAGGCCAGGATCACAGCCAGTTGACTTGTCTCCAGGGGCGACCCCGCTCCATCCAGAACGCTCTCTTTCTCTGTAAGGGGAGAGCCTTCCTCTGAACGCCAGAATTCACACCCGCACAGAGTCACGTGTGCTGTGTGCGGCTCAGGGTTTTTTTCATCCCTGCTTTTTCGACATCTCCTATTCATCTTAGGGTCTTTTTCCAACAAGCCAGAAAATTCTTTATACTAGATCGGAGGTTTTGTTTATTTGTATGTTTCGGTTTGTTTTTTGAGGGAGGCAGAGAATTATTTCACCCAATATTTTATTCTAATGTAAGTGTGGTCAATTAACATAGTAAGTACATAAAGAATCATCCTCTCTATGATGCACCTTTAGAATTTGGGGATAGGTTAGGAGTGTTACATTAAGGTAACAAATCAACATTTAGCATTATTCATTTTGGAAATTCTTTTTTTTTCTTTTAGTTGTGGATGGGCACATATCTTTATTTTATTTGAAAGCAAATGAAAGAGAATAAAAAAGAAAGGGAGGGCTGGGGTTGTGGCTCAGTGGTAGAGGTCTTGCTTTGCACAGGTGAGCAAAGCAAGACCTCAGCACAACTTATAAATAAATAGTTGTCCATATATATATATGGAAAGAAAGAACTCAACGAAGCAACAAAAACCAGCGGAGGGGCACATTTTCAACAGGGAAAATGGCAACAGGCTACAACAAGGGTCTGAGTTTTACAGGATTTAGCAGGGCCAGGTCCTAGGAGGAGTTGGTCTGTTACTTTTGGTGGGTTTACTGTGTGGGGAGGGGATTTTGGTAGATAAGGGAAATTATGACAGGTCAGATTGCAGAGCTCCCTTTTTCTGAGGGTTTTGTAAGTCTCTATTTCCTCCATTATTTATTTATTTTTCATATAGTGCTGAGGATCAAACCCAGTGCCTCACACATGCTAGTCAAGCACTCTACCACTGAACTACAACCCCAGCCCCCATTTTGGAAATTCTTATAACACCATCTAAAAGACAAATTGTGAATGTGTGTTGAAGATATTAAGAACCTCACTAGGATCTCATCAAGGATCAGTGCAATATATTAAAGATTATAAAATGCTGGTAAGCTGGTAGCTTATCATGTAAAGGTAAAATTTCTAAGCTGTTTCTAAGCTGCAAAGCCTGAGTTAAAGTGTAAAAGACCGGGCATTGTAAAGTTTCTAAGCTGCAGGGCCTGGGTTAAAAAGTAAAAGAATAGATATTGTTAAAATTTCCCCTGCTACCCCTAGAACCTGTAATCCCTGTAGCTGTTAGGACAATACTGGAACTGCCCAGTAAATATTCCTCCTGATCCTCTGGCTGTTTAATAGCTAAGGGCTCTGAGTAGCTCGGCACGTAGGCATCCAGGCCCCAAAACCAATCAGTTTGAATGTGTACCCCGCTTGGAAGTGACGAATCACCCCTGCCCAGCCTGTTCCTGCCAGTGAATGTACTAATCATGTCTCAGAGTTGTTGTTCAACTTTCCCGCGCCTCATGATGATTTGTTCTGATATATGCAAAGCCCCCCACCCTCCTCAAAAAGTGTACTTAAGCTCTGCTTGACCTCTGCTCTGGGCTCTGGGCTGCTCTCCCTTCCTGAGTGAGCCTTGAGCCCCAGCATGCTGGTTCAATAAACTCCCTCCTGCCAATTGCATGAAGCCAGTCTCTTGCTTTCTCCGACGCTTCGCCGGACCCTTACAATCACATTATAAAATAATAATGTCCAATACAGAATATGGATTGGAGAGGAAGAAAATGTTAGTATTTAATGAGCTGTACTGAGGGAAGAGTGTTGTAATTTTAGCAGCTGGTCTTAGTGTTTTAGAAAGTTCCTCTAATCAGGGGTACTCAAATGTGAGTGGTTCATGTCTGCCCTGGGTGCTTGTTAAAACAGATTGCAGGGCACAGACCTGAGTATTTCTAGGTCTGAGGCTAGAGAGGGTGAGAGTGATGAGGATTTGATTTCTAGGAGATGGGTCAGGGATCACAGTTTGTTGAGGAAGAGTGCCCTTTTTATCAGCTCCCAAAGCTACCTATCATTCCCATGCTGATTTTATAAATTTATTTATTTATTTTAAAGACAGAAAATTTTTTTTAATATTTATTTTTTAGTTTTCAGCGGACACAATATCTTTGTTTGTATGTGGTGCTGAGGATTGAACCGGGGCCGCACGCATGCCAGGTGAGCGCGCTACCGCTTGAGCCACATCCCCAGCCCTTTTTTTTTCTTTTTAATCCATTTGCCAAGCCTGGGTACCTCTTGGGTGAACTGACAGCATTTGGCTTCCTCAAGTGGAGGCCAAGACCCAGAACCCTAGCACAGATGACTAACAGCAAGGTGCAGTCATCAGGGGTTGAGGGCCACCTAAGATCAACATGGGATCAGGATGCTCAGTGCTATTGTCCTCCGAAGAGGTAGGGGCAGCTCAAGAAAGAATTCCCAAGGCCCTCCTCAACATACAGACCAGGTGTGTCACTGTGGTCACATAAAGAATGATAAGATGTTAGGAGGGAAAGCATTAGCAAAGGGAGACTGGAAGCATAAGCAAGTCCCCCTTCCCCCATCACACAACACTGCCTGCCTGTTCTGTGATCCCCACCATGCTTGTTCATTCAACAAACATTTGGTGAACGGGGTAAAAATGGGAGTTCATAACCCTTTTGAATCAAACTGTGAAATATGATATATCAAGAAAGATGTAATGTTTTGAACGACCAACAATAAAAAAAAAAAAAAAAAATTTGGTGAACACTTCATGTGGGATCCATTAAGACACGGTCCCTGCCTTCCAAAGAGTGACATCTGTTGATTCTACCATAGTAACCTTGTCTCCTCCCTTCCCACTGCAGCTGCCTCCAATCCCTCATTGGTTCTTGCATAGTCTCCCTCAAAAACCTTCTAATATACTTCACTCCCCCCAAATAGCATGACATAACTCTTTTTTTTTAAGAGAGAGTGAGAGGAGAGAGAGAGAGAGAATTTTTAATATTTATTTTTTAGTTCTCGGCAGACACAACATCCTTGTTGGTATGTGGTGCTGAGGATCGAACCCGGGCCGCAAGCATGCCAGGTGAGCGCGCTACTGCTTGAGGTGCGCTACCGCTTGAGCCACATCCCCAGCCCATGACATAACTCTTAAGTGTTTCCAAATCACAGCTGAATCAGGTCAGTCTTTTGCTCAGCATTCCTCAGCTCCCTTTTATCAATAAAATCCAAACCCCTCAGCTGGACCCCAGCCCACTACTCCACTTCTCACACCCTGCCCTCCAGCCAATAGGATGAACTGCTGTTTATACATCCATGTATACTTGCATCCTACTTTGGCCAAGTCTCCTCCATTTACTATGCCCTTCTTCCTACTTTTAAAAGGCCATTTCAAAGGTCACCTCTCAAGGGCAGGGCCAGGAGGACCTGAGAGAAGTAGCATAATGGGTCCCTAAATACAGTTACATAGGAGAAATAAGTTCTGTGTTCTACGGCACAGTGGGGTGACTGTTGGTCACAATAATTTACCTGTTTTATAAAGAACTAGAACCAAAGAAACAATGGTGGAAGAGACAGAAATGCTAATTACCTTGCTTGATCATTACACATTATCTACACTGTATTCTCCCCCAATGTCCCTAATTGTCCTGAATTCCTATAGCCTTTTTGCCTCGTGTGACATATTCTCAACCTTGTATTAGCCTCCCTTAACAGTATTAAGCTCAAAAGCAAGACTTGATTTATTCTTTTCTCCCCTTTAAAAATACTGCAGATGGTACTCAGGAATGCACAAATGCCAAGGCTGAATGAATGTCTGGCTGAGGAAAGGGCTGTGTAAAGGGGCAGCACAGGAAAAACACACACACCTGATTTTAACACAGCATGAACTCAGCTAGGGCTCTGATGTTTTGTTCACCAATGTGACCTAAGTATTTAAAACTGCCTAGATAACAGGTGCCATACATATACACACACTCACTCTCTCTCTCTAATTTAAGAAGTGGATAAGGATCCCCAGAAGGGGCTAATGTACAAACAGTAAAGACCAAATGGTGTTTAGTTCACAAAGGACATCAAGAAGGGAGAAAGCAGGGCTTACTCAACAAGATGGGAAGCCCAATGTGGCAGTAGCATACTGAGGGGAAGGGGAAGAACCACAGGGTGGGAAGGCTGTGGAAGCTGTGGGTTCTATAATAAAACACCTGCTCTTTATCAGTAGCTGGTGAATGCCACTCCAGGGTTCTGAGGAAAGTCCATGTCCAGCTGTGCTTCAGAACAATAACTGGTACAGGAACATGTGAGGAGCAACCAGTTTGGTCACCAAGTAGCTCAGGTGAGGACCATTAGGACCTTAATTGTGGGAACAGGAAGGAGGATTAGTTAGGGATGCATAGCATTTGTCACCATCTTTCCAGGTCAGTGTTCCCTAAGCTTCAGATAATCCACTTCCTGTTTTCCTTCTCAGTTCCTCCCTAAGCAGGCTTTCATTGCAGGACAGTTGAAGCAGGCAAGAGGTTAATTTGTTGTCACTTAGGACAGTGCCTAGTGCACTGTCACCTGGAGATCTTACTCAGGTCGGCATTTCCACCAAGCTCCTGGTGTGGAGCCCACAGTTCTGGTAACAGGGCCTTAGAATCCAGTGGACATTGCATGGCACTGCACCTGGTCAAGTGTGTGGGCTCTGAAGCAAGATGGTCTGGACAGCCATCCCCACTGTCACTTACGTCACTCCTCTGGTCTTCTCCCGCATCTCCTAAGTAAAACAGGGTGAAATTATCCCACTCCGGTTGTATGAGAACTAGTTTTTATAAAATGAATTTACAAGAGTACCTCACACACAAGTGCATAATAAATGTTACAGGGGCCCCAACCCAACTGTTTGACACAATTATGTCCCTGTCTCAAGGGAGACCTGACTTTGCTTCTACTTTGCTTTTTCCCATTTCCAGGTAGGAGGCTGGCCAATTAAGCCACTTAATAACTAGAAGGTAAGGACAGTCAATGATGGGACAGAGTGGCTATCTATAATGTAAAGTTTTCTAACAGCTGCCTCGTACTCCCTTGGCACCCACCAAACTTCACCTACCCATCTACCACCTCCCAAAAACCAACACCCAGATGGTCTCGAGCTCTCCACCACTTCATATGGGGTCCCTGGCTATTCTCATCCATACCCTCTTCTTGTTTGTCTAGATTTAAGTAAAAATGCAGGTCAACTGTGCCTTCAGTGCTGTCATTGCTCTAGGTGAGGCACCTCTGCACCCTTATGAAGTCAGAATTAGACAGGCAGTCAGCATAGACAGGTAAACTGAGTCAGGGAGGATCAAGTAGGCCAATTTTGAGTGAATCCGGTAAATTGGAAACTGTCCCCTTAGGGATTGAAATGTTAATTCCTTCAGAGCCCTTCCTCCACCCTTACCAAGAACCTCTCACTGCTCCAACCAGTTGCCAAGGTAACCTGTCCCAGGAATTGCCTCTCCCTATAGGGAGCTTTAAGGCTGTTAATGGGTCCTTAGCTGCACCATTCAGCCCTTCCCCCCTTCAGCCCACCTGTTTCCCACCTTTTGGCCATCCCCCTGAGCATTCTTGGGCCTAGTCACATACCAAGGAGAAAGGGGAAGAAGGCAGGAGAACAAAGGAAGCCTAGGACAAACAAAAAGGGCAGAACACCTAGCTTCTTGGGAAACCAACTATGGCCCCCTTCTCGGGTAGGGGGGGAGGGGAGTCTCTTACCCCTTTTTAAATAAACCCTGCTTTATATGCTTGCCTCTTGCGTGCTTCTCTAATGTTCAAACTTCAACATTTGAGGGAAACAGCGGTCACTTGGCCCCAGGAAAGTGTTTCAACAAACGGACAAAAATATCAGATGTGTGTGTTTTTTGTATTTTTTTAATTCTAGGCAACTGTAAACCATCCAAGGGGACATTCACATATGACCCAGGAGCCCACTGCCATCCCTGTAAACAACAGTGGGGCAGGTCATCCGTCAACACTCCTGAGACAAGCATCTGTGTGCTTTCTGCCAATCTCTGGGACAGAAGTGTAACTTGAACAACCTCAAGTAACGACTGGTGTAATAGGTACAAACTAAATAACCACTGGCACAAGCTGAACACTTCAGAAACAGACTAGTCTTCCACTGGGAGGCTGCACAAACACAGCAGGGTTGGGGCTCAGAGGGAGAGGGGTATGGTAAAACACCAGCACTCCCAGGACCAGAACCCTACTGGCCACTCCTTCACAGGAATCCGGCAGGGGGCTTCAGAGGCTAATTTTCCTCTTTGTCCTTCTGAGACAATTAGCCCCATTTAAGAGGGTCAAGCACACCCACAAGAGGGAGCCCAGCACTGTGTCCCCTTTGTTCCCTGCCTTAAGTGTGGCCAGGCTAAAACAGCCCCATAAACTATCCCCTCTTAGAGGGTAGGCGGAGTCCCCACGTTAGGAACAACTTCTACAACTCCTGAAATTAAAAGAAAAACAAAAACAAAACCAACTGTTGGGCTGTATATAATTTTTAAACTAGAATCTAACTAGAATCTTTAAATCAACTAGAATCTAACTCCAAAAAAGGATCTTCAGAGCAGGATAAGCAGTTCATTTAAATTATTTCTTCTCTGTTATTAACAAAGAGACTACAAAAAAAAAGAGGAAGTGGAGAGTCACTCTTCCCAAAACTCCTCCTGTACCTGCTTGCCTGTAGCCCATGGGAAGACGTGCAATGCTGGGACTGGCCCTGGAACTGACCACCAATCCCTGTGGGGTCACCATGCCAACCCCAGCCCCCAAATATCAGATGGATGGGAAAACCAGACTAGACTGGGCCAAAGAGACAGCACTCTCAGTGGCAGGGTCAAGATGATAAGAGAGGCTGGGCCCTAGATTCCTCTTCTTCCACAGGATTTTCAGGGCAGCCTTTGGGTTCGGTCTGGCACTTGGTCAAGGGAAGGCAAATCAGAAGCAAGGGCCCTCAGGAAGAAATTAGTCCCTGATAGCGCACAGTGTCTTTTCCGGGGGGACTAATGCCACCCCCCTCCGCCCCCGGACGGTGAGGGGTTGGCACCCTTAAAGAAGGCCATTGGGCCTTCCGGGGTCCAGGGTCAGTCCACCCCTCTCCCGCTGGTGGATCTTCTGGTGCTGTAGGAGGTGCTGCTTCTGGACAAAGCTCTTCTCACACTCGGGGCAGCTGTAGGGCCGCTCACCCGTGTGGATGCGCTGGTGCCGCACTAGGTCAGATGGGTGGCTGAAGCTCTTACCACAGTACCCACAGATGAGGGAACTCCGGCTTTTCCTCCAAGGGATGTGGCCAGGCAGGGCAACCAGGCTGTTGGGTGAGAACCTCTCCTGGACACGTGGGCTAGCACTAGGCCCCTCCTGAAGATGGCAGCGCTGATGGGTGATGAGGTTCACCTTGCAGCTGAAGCTCCTCTGGCACACTTCACACTGATGCAGCTTTGCCTTCTTTGCCTGTGGCTTCAGCCGTGGCCTGGGCCTAAGGCTCTCCTCTGGCTCTGTGGTGGGGAAAGACTCCCACCCTGAGTGGCTCTGCAGATGTGTGGCCAGTTGTTGCTTGTAGCGGAAACTGATCTCACACTCAGAACATTCATAGGAACTGGCAGTGTTCTTTTTTAGCTTCAGGTTCTGCCCACATTCCTGACCCAGCTGGACCTGCCTGTGGGATTTCTGCTTTGTGGAGCAGCCCAGAATTCTGCCACTGGTAGGGTCTGTACTCCCCTCAATGGGATCCTCGAGATTAGAGTCCCCAGGGCCTGTCTCCAGAAGAACAGACCCACCCTGGCCATCCCAGAGCTCAAAATGCTCTGAGCGGAGAAGAGCCTGCTCTTCAGTAGCACCTGAGAACGTGCCAGGGGGGCCCGCAGAGCCTTCCTGCTTGTACAGCACCTCCTGCTTGACCACAGCCCCGTCCACTGCAAAGAAAGAACAACAACAAAAAGATCACATTCTAGCACCTTTGGCCTCTCCAGAGCCAAACAAGTATCTGAGAATTTCAGAAGGGCTCAAATCAAAGTCCCATGGGAACAAATGAATTAGGACAATCTGGAAAAAGATGTAACTAAGTTCCAAGAATTATTAAAAACTAAATCTATATTTCTGTATAGACAGGTAACTGGAAATCTGAATACATTATTCTCAAAAAAACAATGTTATAAAAGGTAGCTCTCCAAACTTGTTTGCAAACTATTTAATCCCTGTGAAAAATGACAAAATACACTTCAACAAATATATTAATTTAGGAGAGTGTTGGAATAATAAATTTGAATAATTAAAGAAAAATACACTAGAGCTATAGCTTAAAAGGTGTGTCCAGCTCTCTCTTTTCTGCATATTCTGCCCAAACACCGTGCCCAAACATCCTACATTTCCTTGCCTCCTGATGCTCTGGCCCGCCTCTCTCCATCATGTTCTGATGATTTATTACATCCTCTATTCTGTAGAGCATCAAGAAATGTGGTATGTAGTCTTAAGGATCCACAGACTGGTAGGAGTAGACAGACATATGACTGGCAAAATGGTAGTCATAAAGGTATCTGGAACTAGCATATGCCAGATGAGGTTAATGATAGTCATCCTTTGGCAGTTCAACAGTGGGAGAGCTCCCCATGAGCTGCAGAGACCCACTTCAAGGGAGAGAGGGACAGGAGAAAATATTCTAGAGCCACTCACCAGGGTGGGCAGCATCAGGGCCTTCCTCCTCCAAGTCACCCAGCATTTCTGTACCCAAGTCTGCTTCTCCCTCTGGCTGGCCAAGGACCTCTAGGTTGGAAATGGCACAGTATGAGCCCAGAAGAGAGTAAAAGCTCACACAATGGTTAGTTGCTGATGAACACAGTTACTACTGGCAAGGAGCAAATATTAAAACTTCAAAAGACTCAAAGACTACTATTATTGTCACTCTCCCAAGTGCTCTGGGAAAATTAGACAATTCTGGCCATTGCTAAGCATTGATTCAGCTAGCTGCTGCCATTACTGCTTCTCTATAAGGGCTGCCGGTCTCAGGCACCAGGCTGCAAAGCCCCTGCAGTACACCCAGCAGACTACCACCACCCCACACGCATGGCTGAGGACTTGCCAAAGCCCCTTTCAGGGCATCTAATTTCATCCTTGCTGAGGGACTGCCAGGTGACAGACAAGGAGACAGTTCTGAAGAAAGCACATGACCCAGCTAAGGTCACATGGTCACTTCTCAGGCCCATTGCTACTTCCCTCTTCACTCACTCTGGTCCAGCCACACTGGTCATCCATTTCTCCGTGGGCCTACATTTTAAAGAGTTTGTTTACCAAACAAAATGTATTAGTTATGTAATAGGGAGTATGTGAGTTAAAATTTATATACATTAAGCAGCACTTCTAATCTATATGAAATACACATTTAGACCACAATGACTGACTAGCACTCCAGCCAAACTCCAAGAAAAAGGGTTTGGTCAATTTGTGCTGCATCCCTCATCCCAGGTAATGTAAGACTTCTAATCAAATAGTCTTAACTATTAAAAGCAACATGAGAAACCCCAGAAATACTACCATGCATCAGAAAATCTTCTCAAGAAGTGGCTGTGTAACTGCAGAGAAGAAATACTAGAAGGCATACCTCTGAGACTTTTCCTAAGGTTTTGTAAGTGAGAGGACCTAGAGACTCCCACTTTTCCTGACACAGGCCAAGAGGGGATCCCAAGTCAACCTGAGACACAGGTGTAGTCAGAGGCACAAGCCACTGGCCACGGTGTATGAGAGAATTCCAGGGGGAAACTGGAATCCTAGTACTGCTACTCACTCAGAGAGACCAGTGTTTCATAGTTGCTCTCCATGACGTTCCTGTAGAGCTCCTTCTGCCAGTCCTCCAGGTTCTCCCACTCCTGCTCAGAGAAACAGACGCCATCATTCTCAAGTGACCTGGACACCTAAAACCAAAAACGACACACAATGAGCACCTTGGAGTCATGAAGGCCAAGCCAACGATTCAAAATCATAGCCAAAAGAAGCTGGGCTCCCCTTCTTGCCTAACTTAGTGCTCTGTGGTTCTACCTTAGGGGCCTCCCCCTTGCTGCCAGGGGGCAGCCGCAGGACCCAGGAGCTCCTGTTGCGCAGCAGGTTCTCCACGTTCTCCAGCCGCCGCTGTAGCAGCCCGTACTCCTGCAGCAGGGTCCCCAGCACGGCCCACTTGCCCTCCAGCTGGTTGCCAAACTCCACGGCCGTCTTCTCATAGTCTGCCAACTTCTTTTCTGCTGTCCCAGTGCGTCCCTCCAGGCTCTGTAGCCGGGCAGCCTGGGACTCCATCTTCTTCTCCACAGACTGGATAGCAGCCACCACTGTCCAGAGTGAGATCTCTGTGGTCTGAAAATATGAGCTTTTTTCTGTTGCTTGTGAAGGAGGTGTTGAAGTTGTTAAAGGGGCAGAGCGCCGCTTTCGTCTATGCTGAAGGATCAATCAAAAAAGATACAGGGTCAGTCAGACAATGCTATTCCGAATATCAAGTAAAGAAAGCAATGTCAAAGTACAAAAGAACTCAGAGCTACCTAATTTCTTTCTTCTTCTTTTTCTTTCCCTCTTACTTTATCTTGTTACTGAAGATCGAAACAGGGGCACTTTACCAACGAGCTACATTCCCAGTCCTTTTTGAGACCTGTCTCACTAAGTTGCTGAAGATGGCCTCAAATTTATTATCCTTCTACCTCAGCCTCCGAAGCTGCTGGGATTAAAGGCCCATATTTGGCTTTTTTAAAAAGTATGCACTTTTTAATTCTGATATTGAAAATGTGTATATTGTAATAACTTTGGAGAATACTGTAGAAAAGTTATGTAAACTTTCTGAACTTATGTAGATTATATATATGAGCTTTTTTCTTTTCTTTTTCAGTGAAATCAAAATCTCATTGCACATATTTTGCTGCCTGCATTTCACACTTAGCATATTTTATGAGACTTTCCTGTATTGGAGTTCATTTTTTAAACAGTTTCTTTCTACTTTATGTTTTGAACTATATAATAAATGATGTCATTTATATCCACTTTGCCTCCACATTCCTACCTGACATCAATAGTTGATCAAGTCACTGCTGCTGCAAACCTTTCAATGGCTCCCCATGATAAGAGAAAATTCCTTAGCAGGACCTGCAAGACCTAACTCATTCCTTATTTATCCTAATAGTTGATATAGTGAATAACACAAACAAATCCTTAAAAAAACATTTGCTGAAATGACTTGACTAAGCCTGCTGACATTTTCCTTATAATTCTCATTTTTATGGTCTTATAATTCTCATTTTTTGACTGAAGCTCAAAATTTCTAAAACCAACACTAGGGAAATCTTTCTGAAGCTGCTTTCTCACACACTGTCCCACTCCATTTTCATTTCAGTCCTAAACCCCCAAAGTTTGCTCCTCTTTCATGTGGCACTTTATTTAAGGCTGCTTATCTAACCCATTTTGGGGGAAATGAGACCAAGAGGAAATATCTGAAAGAACTGCTGGGGGAAGGGGTCACAGTCTGGCCTCAAACTGTGGACAAAATGAAACTGACTGGCATAGAACTGAACATTTAAGTTTGATCAAGACCTATTTTAGGGGCTGGGGATGTGGCTCAAGCAGTAGCGTGCTCGCCTGGCATGCGTGTGGCCCGGGTTTGATCTTCAGCACCACATACAAACAAAGATGTTGTGACTGCCGATAATTAAAAAATAAATATTAAAATTCTCTCTCTCTCTCTCTTTAAAAAAAAAAAAAAGACTTATTTTAGCTATTCATCATAGAACACACAAACGCTTACAAATTCCCCTAAAAAGACTTAATTCAATATAAATTATAAATTCATGTGAAACCAAACATTAAGTTGGAAAAATTAACCTCATCACATTTGTTTTGCTTTTGTAAGTCTCTGTGTCACTGGCTTTTTGGAGGCTCATCTTTCCTCCCAGGGGCCACTAAGTGCTTAGTGCTTGCTAAGCACTTCTTCCAGACAGGGTGGTAGGTCAGGGTCTAAGAAGAAGAATGAACCCTTCCTCTTCCGCATAATAATAAAGAGTTTCTTCTGGGGCTGGGGATATGGCTCAGGCGGTAGAGCGCTCGCTTGGCATGCATGCGGCCTGGGTTCGATCCTCAGCACCACATACAAGTGGTCATGTTGTGTCCGCCGAAAACTAGAAAATGAGTATTGAAGTTCACTCTCTTAGAGTTTCTTCTTTTCTTCCATTTTGAATTATCTAGCATAACTGAAAAATTCAAATGTCCATCACCTGACCCATGGATAAACAAACTGTGGTCCACCCATCCATGTTATGGGTTGAACTGTCTGGTCAAAAAAAAGCTGGAGAGCTGGGGTTGGAGCTCTATGGTAGAATGCTTGCTTCCCATGTGGGAGGTACTGAGTTCATTCCTCAGCACCACATAAAATAAAAGTATTGTGTCCATCTACAACTAAAAATAATTTTTAAAAAATTAAAAAGATGCTGTAACCTGAACATCAGAATTTGACCTTGTTTGATAAAAGGGTCTTTCTGGAGGTAATCAAGTTATGATTATATCATTATGATGGGACTTATCCAAAGGACCAGTGTCCTTATAAATCAGGGGAAATCTGGACAGAGACACAGAGATGGACAATGATATGAAAATACACACAGGAAGATGACCTGGAAGAGATGTCTGGGGTCACTAGAAACTAGGAGAGGGGTATAGACCTCATAAGGAGTCAGTCCTACGACACTTTGGTTTCAGAAGTGTAGCCTCCAGAACGGAGATCACACACTTCTGTTGTGTAAGCCAGTCTGTGATTCATGACTTTGTTATCACAGCCCTAGGAAATTAACATGCCACACAGTAGACTAGTCCTCAGCAATTGAAGAGAACAAACTACTGACCTAATATTACTACATGCAAAGTCCAAGAACCAAGACACAAAAGGCTCTATACTGTATTCCATTTAGATGCCATTTAGGAAAAGGCAAAACTATTGGGACAGAAAGATCAGTGGTTGTCAGGGGCCAGGAGTGGGAGGAGATTGATTATAAGCAATATGAGGGAAATTTCTGGGATGATAGAAATATTTTATATTTTAGTAATCTGATGTCTAAACATTTATCAAAACCCATTGAAGTATATATGCACAGAGTGAATTTTACTGTATCTCAATAAACAGGATTTAAAATGTCCACGTAGAAGAAAATGTTAGCTGTCATAAAAGTAAACAAAAACAAAATCTAAAAACAGAGAAAATATTGTGAAGAGAATATGAGAGATCAAAGCATCCAAAAATAAAACTGCAGACTATAAAGCATTTATGAAAGTAGAAATGTAGGCAATCAATTAAATGACAAGACAACAGCTTTAGTAGTTAATGTGAAGACAATCAAATGCAACCATTTTTCACCCATCAGATGACAAACATGGAAAAAGAATATAACATTTAGAGCTGATCATGATACAATCAACTTAAACTTCCATGACCCTCCTGGAAGTCATGGAAAATACTACAAACCACCTTGTGAAGGAGACCTCAGGAAAATCTTTAAAAATCCTTGCCAGGACCACATTTAATCTCAGCGGCTCGAGAGGCTGAGGCAGGAGGATTGCGAGTTCAAAGCCAGCCTCAGACACACAGTGAGGCACTAAGCAACTCAATGAGACCATGTCTCTAAAATAAAAATACAAAATAGGGATGAGGATGTGGCTCAGTGGTTGAATGCCACCAAGTTCAATTCCTAGTACCAAAAAAAAAAAAAAAAAAAAAAAAACCTGGCAATCCCACTTAGGGAACATAGCTTACAAAAATAAGCAGTACTTGATGACATACCCATGAAGATAACTAATTATTGGTTAAGATACTTTGGAACAGTCAAAACCTGGAAATAACTTAGATGTTTGTTAATAAGGGAATGGTAAAATAAATTATGGCACAACCCAAGATGGTTTTACATAACCATTAAAGAAATGAGTTAGATGTGCATGTATGGTTTAGAAAACACACAGCGAGGGCTGGGCGTGGTAGTGCACGCCTGTAATCCTAGCAGCTTGGGAATTAGCAAAAGACCCTGTCTCAAAATAAAAAATAAAAAAGGGCTGGGGATATAGGTTAGTGGTTAAGCACCCTTGAGTTCAATCCCTGGTGCCAACAACAACAAAGAAAACATATTGATAAGGTTAAAAGTCCAAATTTTAGGAAAATATATGTATTATCATCTCATTTTCCTATAGAAAACATTTGTGTAAGCTTGTTTCATCACACAGAAAGATTTGAAAAGATATTCAACATGCAGTTAACAAACAGGGTTGCACCTTCATGAGGTTGAGAGAAATGGATTTTACTCTTTCATTAAAAAAGTTATTGCTCATTTGCTTTTTTTTTTTTTTTTTTTGATACCAGGGATTGAAGCCAGGGATGCTTCCCCACTGAGCCACATGCCTACCTTTTTTGTATTTTATTTAGAGACAGGATCTCACTGAGTTGCTTAGTGCCTTGTTTTTGCTAAGGCAAGATCCTCCTCCCACAGCCTCCTGAGCTGCTGAGACTACAGGGGTGCACCACCATGCCTAACTCATTAGACTTTTTAATAAGCATGTATTCTTTTGTAATTTTTTTCTTAAATTCAATTATGTAAGAGTATTTCTGAAGACAATGAAAATACAAAAGTACACTATGCTGACCATGCTTCTGAAGTTTCTGGCACAATCCTGCCTTTGAATAACATATTGTCAGATCATGAGTCAAACAACTGACATGTTGTTATGGTCCAACACGTTACCATTAAGTACAAGATAGAGTCCCAACTGTTAAGAAAACAACAGTTAGCTTGAGTTAATGCAAAGCAAATAACATTCTAAAGTGATACTTAAGTTGAACTAGATGGTATCTACAATTTTCCCAACTAAGAGATACTATTACCTTTTAATATCAAATAGTTTAAAATTGAACACATAAAATGTATAAAATAGTGACAACAGCCAGGTGCAGTGGCACACAACTATAATCCCAGTGACCTGGGAGACTAGGGAGGAGGATCAGAAGTTCCAGGCCAGCCTCTGCAACTTAATAAGACCCTGTCGCATAATAAAATTAAAACAGAGAGCTGGGCATGCTTGTCGACAGACAAGATTAATATTGTTAAAATGGCAATGTTATCAAAAGCAATAAATAGATTCAACACAATCCACATAAAAGTACCAATGATATTCTTCACAGAACTAATAAAACAGTCTTAAAATTAATTTGGAAGATTAAGAGACCCAGAATAGCCAAAGCAATTCTAAGCCACAAAAGCAAGGCAGAAGGCATAACGATATCT